AGTGTTGGCTGATTCTGTAGGGGAGGGATGGGACAGAGTGATCAAATCGGTTAATGCTTTCCTGTTGTGGTTTAATAATAATTAAAGTCTTAAGAGGGTGCAGATCCTTAAATGTTCTCACTGTCCTTTCCCTTGCTCCATGGTAGCCAATGCCATATTTTTACTATACTATTTACACCAAAGTGTTCACATGTAATTTTTAATAAAATGTAAACAATCAAATCCCATCTCCAACAATTTCTATGTTTTGAGACACTAAAGCCATCCACAAACAGGAAGATAAGATAATAAAGGATTCAGGAAAGGTTCCTAACCTTTGAAGTTGACATCAAGGAAAACAACAGTGCCCTTTGATCAACAGGTCCCTGGGCAGCTTGAGTGACTGGCCCATGGGTCCAAGCTGGGAGACAACTCTGGAGTTCACGGTTGCTCCTCTTCACTATTCACGATCACATTAAGATTTTCTTACTGAAGGCAATTGTTATCATATGGAACTATATCATATCATAAGTGATAGAATAAAATGTGTAATGTATACAAAAATATCTCCTCATAAATTCTCATTTTGTAATTCCTTTCATTTCAGCATTCATCGACAAAACAAAAATAAAACCCAACTATCCTTCTGTAATTATACTAACCGAACCATACATTTCCATGAAGTTCACAAGACAATAATACTAAACATTAAATAGTCCCAGAAGAGTGATACAAACTTTTCTTAAGGTTATCTTTGTTAAATTGTCTGTAAGTCAGAAAAGTAATGTTATAACTTTAGAATTGGAAACGGAAACGCAAATAGAAAAAGGAAAAAGTTAATAAATAACCTCTAGCCAACTTCATTCTTATCTCTTCAAAAGAAGCAACCAAATTAAACATCTGCTGAATAGTCTTCCACATGCTCATTAAAAATATACAAATGTATAGAAGATATTGGCTTTTTGTTCTACAAAAATGAGCTTATAATATACATGTTGCTATGAAACTGATTTTTCTCATCTAATAAGACATCATGGATAACCTTCTCTAACACTACATGTATTTTAAAATAACTGCATAATACTCTATATCATCTATTTTCAATCTCTTTCATCTAATGGCACACATAAACTAATTACTAAAATTCGGTGGCACACCAAAAACTATCAGACAAAAAAAATAGGTATAATTTTGATTCATTCACGCCAGACAGCTAATATGTTGATTGTTGTCTTTTTGTTTTTGTTTGACAATCTAAGGGAAAAGAGATCATATCCCTAAAAATAGTCATGTATTGCATGTTTTAAAAATTCTTATTTCAACAGTGTGTTGAAAATCACTGTTCTATATTATAGATGTCTTATGAGCTATTCTCCTATTTGTTAATATTCAGTTTTTTCCAGTGATTGTTTTAACCAAAACAAAAAAGTTGGATCTTTGTGTACTGATATTTTCAAATGAGGGATTGCTGAGTAAAGGAAAGTTGTACTTGCATTTTCAATAGGTATTGCCAGACTACTCCCTCCAGTAATGGATGAGTGTCCTTGCCTCCTACCATTTCTGCCAGAACTAGTATTATTTATTTATTTATTTTTTTGCTGTTTGCTGTTCATATGGGTGATAAAGACACCTCATTATTATTTAAATTTCTATTTCCCAAGTGAAATTTTAGTGCCATTGTTACTATTTAACAACATTTTATCATATTTTTCAAAATCAGTGTTTTTCAACCCCCCACGCTATTAATATTTTTGGCCAGATTCTTGCTTGTTGTTGGGGTCTGTCTTGTGCATTGTAAAGTGTTTAGCAGCATCCCTGGCCTCTACCCACCAGCTGCCAGTAGCACAACCACCCCCATTTGTGACAACGAAAATGTCTCCAGACATTGACAGGCTCACGCCAGCTGAGAGCCTCAATGCTAAAGGCTTAAATTAGAAAGATTGTGATGTTTTAAACCAACTCATTAAATGTTTTAAAATATATATATTTTTTTGATTTCAGAGATGAAGGGAGAAGGAGAGAGAGAGAAAAACATCAATGATGAGAGAGAATCATTGATCAGTTGCCTCCTGCACACCCTGTACTGGGGATCAAGCCCGTAACCTGGGCATGTGCCCTGACCAGGAATGGAACTGTATCTCCTGGTTCATAGGTTCATGCTCAACAACTGAGCAACACCGGCCATGCCCTTATCATTAAATTTAATAAACAACAAGATTTCAGAAATCACCTCTAGGACATTTTTTCAGAGTTGATAAATTTCAAAACCTCCTCAATCATCTAAAAATATGAGTGAACAAAGCATGAACAACATAGCATGAACACCTCTTTAGGCACATATTTAATTTAACAGCAGCAAGAGTGAACGTGGAACCTTCTGACAGAGAGAGGGAAGTTATTGAAACCCTCAGCACAATAACTACTGTAATTTCAAAGTCAATAGGCAGCTTTTTCATTTCATTCCAACTCCCTGTTTATAAGTTGTGAACAGGTAAAGATAAAAAGAGTTGTTAAATATTTAAATATCTATTCACTGTGCCAAATTCTCAAGTGAGGCTGTTCCTTTGAATATTTCTTTTGATTATTACAGTATTTTGATTCACTTTGATATCCTAATCCAAAATAGACAAATGCTTTTCCTAGAACTTTCTATAGTTGGGGAAAGACTTTCTCTTTTGTTAGAAAATGGGGTTCCAAAGTATTTTTTGCCATTTTAATTCTCTTAGAACAAAAATACACATATTAGTTTTCTCAAGAAAAAAAAAAAGGAATAATCTAATTGCTTTTAGTACAGAACAGTTTCTCCCACCTTCAGAAGAGAAACATACCAAGAACAAAAAAAAATTTAGAAAAGTTTAATTGAAAGTCAATATCAAAAAGCAAAAACTGCTGTAACAATTAGTTACCGTCACTTAGTCTTACAAATAGGTTGAGTGCTGCCTTATTTATAACAGTGATAACATAAAGCACACAGACACATAGCAAATTCTTTGCAAAGAAACTGACCTTTAGCAATTTATTCCAGGAGTAATTTTCTGGCTTTAATTAGAGGTCAATATTCCTTTCTGATGAATTCATAAATAATAATAAAACTGCTACCAGCCATTCCCCACAGGCTTCAAGGTCCCAATTCTCTACAACGGCGAAGAGGGTGGTTTTAAACAGGCAAAATGCCAGTCATGAGATCTATGTGACTATTGATAAAATACTGACAACAGCACTACTGCGAATCAATCAACAATGCAAAGAGCTGACCAAAACAGAAACTGGGAACCCTACCCACCTTTGCAGGACATAGGCTTTTGTGATAGATTTGCATGGCCTGACAAAATCTCTGCATTGTGACAGCACAGGCTTCCAGCACATGCCACCCTTACTAAAGTCCATTTTTAAATTTTAGATTTATTGGGCTTAAAACTATTCACAAAGTTTATATTGAAAGAGAAAATTAGCGTTTCTTACCCAGGGTTATGACCATCCTCTAGCCTCGGTCTCCAAAGAGAACTATTTTCTTTCAAAATTTTTAAAAATGTGTTACATGAACAGTTTGTGTCATATGAATTGATGAGTCAATTAATAGCTTATATTTTCATCATGTTTCAGCTCATTACCAGCTATTTCAGGTAGCTATGTTTAATTATTAGAGTCCAAAAATTAATTGAGAAATGAAACTTAATGCTAATTGGTTTCCTATTATATGCATTAAAAATCTGTATAAATCACTAGATTAAATAACAAGCAATTGGTGGTGTTCTTCCAATTACAGCACCTCCAGCAAAAATCCATTATATAGAAGCAAGTTGAATTATGGTTGATTTATTAATGAATTTGGTGCAGCGTATAATGAGGTTGAGGATATTGAATCTACTTAAATTCATTTAAATAAGCAGAGTTCAGAGAGTTTTTAAAATTAAGCTAAACTTTTAGCTAAGATAACTCAAAATCAAAAATGTGAAGAAGGAAGTAATCAGACAAGGCATGGCCAGCCAGCCCACAGAATAATCGAGACAATCACAGAGCTTTGGGAAATAGCCTACCTCACCACAGCTACCTCCTGGTGCCTACATTTAGGAGTGCTTATCTCTGTCCAACACAACTGGGAGTCTGAAGCAATCATTCTAAAGTGGTGGACCGAAATGAAGAGGCCAGACAGGCTCCTGGAGATTTAGACATTTTCTTAAGGGAGAATTGACAATTTGTGGCCAACTTTGCTCTTTCCATCTCTAATGTCTATAATGCAGTCCTAAGAAAAACACCAAGTGTTTGTTCTGGTGATGAAAACAAGTATTAAACAGATTAATATTACTTGTTTCTAAGAAAGGTTATCATTACCAGCAAATCCACTGTGGTCTATTTATGAACATTGAAATGGTTTCTGGATGTACTTTATTATAAAGAGAAATAGTGATACATTGAAAAATTATATGTAAGTAGCATGTCAAGTAAAGTCATGGAGAGAGATGAACATTTACACTACAGCTGTTTTTGTCAGTTCCAGACTTATTTAATTAGGTCTGATTTTAATCACAAGTATGTAATTCTGAATCTCATCCATCTACATATTACCCTTGTATGATTTACATAATTGTGAGAAATTAATTGTATAATTAATTTTTAATGCTGTATACTTCTAAGAGCACATTAACTCCCTGGGGCCACAGATGGTCTCTGTCTCATATATGGTGTTATTACTAGGGCCAAGCACAGTGCCTACACATAGGAGGAACTTGGTGAGTTCATATTTTCCAGTCAAGATAGAGATTAGCAGAATGGAAAAAACACATGATCCAACTGTATGCTATCTACAACAGACTCACATGAGATCCAAAGACATAAACAGGTTGGGAGTGAAACCATGTAAAAAGATATCCTATGCATATAGTAACCTAAAAAGAGCTGGGTTAGCTATAGTAGCATCAGATAAAATAGACTGCAAATTATAAAAGTTTACAAGAAACAAAGAACATTATATATTGATATAAAGTTCAATACAGTAAGAAAATATAACAATTATAAGTATTTATCCACCTAATAATAGAACATCAAAATATATGAAGCAAAAACTGACAGAATTGAAGGGAGAACCTGGCAGTTCAACAATAGAAGTTGGAGACATTAATACCTTACTCACAATAATGGGTAGACCATCCAGGCAAAGAAAACTAAGGAAATAGAGGATGTACACAGCACAATGAGCCAACTAGATCTAAATGACATTCCAAGACCACTCTACTCAACAACAACATAATACACATTCATTCAAGTGCACATGGGACATTTTCTAGGATACACCATATGTTAGCCCACAAATTAAGTCTCAATAGGTAGATAATAAAATTCTGGACCCAATTTCCAATGTGGAAGAAGCGGTTTCCCCCCCACCACCAATTTTCAGACACCAGCTGGGTGTCTTACAATTCAACTCAATGCTGATACTATCTTTCAGGAGATAGTATCAGATTCAACAAACTCTATCAGTCCTATAAGACTGCTCCCCGCTCCCATCTTCAGAAGCCAAGTAAAAGCCCAGGTTGTCACTGTGCTCCTGACCAATCAGCTATAGATCTGAGGTTTTAACAACCCCTTCATTGGGTTTAATTAATTTGCTAGCATAGCTCACAGATCTCAGCAAAACTTTTTACTCTCTAAATCACTGGTTTATTTTGTAAGGCTATAACTCATGATAGCCAGTTGGAAGAGATGCATAGGGCAAGGTATGAAGAAAGGCAGAGAGCTTCTCTGTCCTTTCTGAGTGTGTCACTCTCCAACAAATCTCCACATTGAGATAAGCAAAAATTTCTTAGACAGAAACCAGAAAGCATAACCATAACATTTACTAGTAAAAAATAATAACAAAATATATAATGGACATTATAAAAATTAAAACCTTCTACTTATCAACGGCTACTGTAGGAACAGTAATCAGCTAATTATCAGCTCTGGTATCCAAACTAGACAAAGACATTAAAGGCAAAAAGAACTAGAGACCATCTTCTCTATGATCATACAAGCAAAAATCATCAACAAATATTAGCAAAACTAAACAACCAAACAAAAATGGCCACAAGTCTTAAATAAAAAACATGTAAAGGAAAATACATGAATGGGCAATGAGCACATGAAAAACATTCAACATCATTAACCTCAGGAAAATGCAAACTAATCTCACAATGAAATCTCATTTAAATGTCTAACAGGCACCTCAAGCTTAATATATCCACAGGATAAATTTATACTACCTCCTCTTCTTTAAACTGTTCTTCCTTTAGTCCTCCCTAATTTCAGTTGGTAGCTCCAGTTCCTGGTTGCTCAAGCCAACAGTTACTCAAGTCAAAAAATGTAGGAGTTCACCCTTGATTCTTCCCTGTCCTTCCATTCCCTCACTCCCCCTCCTCCTTGGCCAATCCATTACAAGTCCTGCCAGTTACCCCTCCAAAACAGCTACCAATCCTCCCAAAGCTTTTCCCTTCCAGGTCTTAGTCCAAGCCACACCTTCTCTTGCTGGAATTACTTCAATAGCCTCCTAACTGAACTCCTTGGTATATATTTGCCCCAATAATGTCAGTTAACCATGTTTCTTACGCTGCTTAAAACTCTTCGATGCTTTCCCATGACACCTAGAATAAAATCCAGCTTCCTTCACAATGCCTACAGGGCACTATATAACCTGTCCCCTACCTGCTCTTTCACTGATCACAAGTTACCCTTATCCTCCAGAGCACACCTACCTTAAGCTCCAGTCATCTTCCTTTTCTGCTCCTTGTGTCTGCCACACTTATATTTTTTCCTCTGGACTTTTGCCCTGGTGATACCTCTCTTTGGAGCACTCTTTCACCTTGTTCTTCTACTCATCCTTTCTGTTTCAACTCCAATATCACTCCCTCACATATCTTAAGGTTCTGGCCATTCACTCCTCTTTTCTATCTCCTTTTCTGGGATATAAACTCTATGAGGCAAGAGCCTTGACTATCATGTTCACTTTGATAACCCCAAGACAGAACACCAGACTAAGAACATAGTAGGATCTCAATAAATGCCTGTTGAATAAATAAATACACAGGTAATTTAAATTTGACAAGCAGAATTATCCAGATTTCCTGAATATTTAAAATTTGCTTGACTAGATTTCTACTTTGTATTTTCATGATTGTATCATTCCCTATATATTGCAGTAGACTTATTAATCACTTAGCATATGCTGAAAAAAGTATTTTTAAGTGTCCCTGCATGTAAAAAGCCTGTACTGAAAATATTAGGCATAATATAAATCCTTAAGTTCATTCATTTGCTCATTCATTCATTCATACAAATATTCAAAACCTTCATTTAAGCCCTAATGACATAGACTTAGAAAAGATAAAGCAAATTAACTAGCTCACAAGGACCTAGCTATCTGGTCTGTTGACTGCTATGAAGATATAGTCAATCCTCACCAATTCCATATCTGCAAATTCCCCTATTCGCTAAACTGTGTTTGTAAACCATGAATTAGTCATCATGGTGCTTTCTTTCGAAGGCATGTGCAGGGCAGTGGAGCTTTTGAATTGCCTGATGTGCAGGTTCTCAGCTGAGGTAGAACAATCTGAGGTGACAATTTGCTTTCCTGTGTCCGCTCTCATACTCTAAGCAATTGTCCCTTTTGTGGTGTATTTAGTGCCATGGTTTTCACATTTTTGTGCTTTTGTTGGTGATCTTGATGTTTAAAAATGCCCTCCAAGCAAATGCTGAAGTGCTGTCTGGTGTTCCTAAGCACAGAAGGCTGCCATGTGCCTCACAGAGAAAAATAAGTGTCAGATAAGCTCCATTTAGGCATGAGTGCTGTTGGCCGTGAGTTCAATGTTAATGAACTAATAATATATATTAAATAAGGAGTCTTTGGACAGAAACACACATAAACAGGGTTATATATCTATCAGTTGGTGAAATGTTAGGTTCCATAGGCTCGCAGGAACCTAACCCCATATTTGCCCTAAAAGTAATGGCGCAGTGTTCACTAAATAAGTGTCCAGGGCAACTTTACAGAATACAACTACCACCAATAATGAGAATTGACTATGTATAATATGCTCTCAGAGTGAGCATTCTTCAAAGATGCCTTTATAGAAGAAGAATG